TGGCTTCTAAATCAAGATAAAAATTTAATTAGTAAATTCAAAACACCGAGAATTAAGAAATAAGATGTAGGGAAGAAAGAAACCCCGTTGTGGTAACACCACTCGATCAATTTTTAATCTTTTTGGGTACTGAGTGCACTGATCATTTTGTCGGGTGCATATATAGAAGCCCGCTAGATTTTATTATCCATATGAGCACCAAAACATTTTGTTCATAAATTCTGGCTGGCAATTGGGTCCTAAAGAGTTAGGCCTTCTTAATGGCAAATTGGCAAAAGAATGCAATCGCATACCAAGAAGCAGAAGTACAAACCTAGCATTCAGTATGTACAAATCTGAAACCAAATTGAAACCAAATGCCATGTTATAATTTTGAGCAGTGGAATGCTGCAAAAACTTCCATCAAGATTCCTTCTCTCCTTCAGTACCTTGAGCTGATTCAGCCATCAACTCTTTCGTATAAACGCGGTGGCGTCGTTCTCTCCCATATATCACCCACAGTAGGAGTGAGAGCATAACTGAAGTAGAGACCATGACCAACCCAATGTAGACCCATCTACTGTATCGACTTAGACCGGGACAATGATCCCCATAAATGTCACTAAAAGTTTCCCTAACAAATGTGCAGTCCTGTAGTTCAACCAGTACAGGGGCATAATTATACAAGGCATTACTCAGGCTTACTCCAGTACTCATCTGGCTGTAGAAGGTAGGGGTTAGCCGCCCCGTTGTGGTGCAAATCCCATTTGGCGAAACCTGGCAGACATAGTTCCCCCATACCTGCAAAAATTTGAGTTCAGTATTGAGGTTTCTGAAGTCTTAGCAAAATTGGTCTGTAAATGTAATGCAAGTGGTGCAAAATTAGTCTATGAATGTAAACTCTACTTGCATTACATTTATAGACCAAATTTGATGCATCAAGTATTTATGTACTAATGTTGCAGAGTTTAGATGGCTTTACCTCTGTTGCATTGTTCAAGTTCACTTCGCCAGCAGTGCAAGTTCGATCGGCCATGTTAGGAAAAAATGGGTTGCAGAGGATTGGCACCAATGGACCAGATTGATTGAAGTACATTGGCACAAAGTTGGCTGCGAAATTTATGTTCGAGACATTGGTGATGACCTCGTTGATCAAGTTGACTAGTTGAGCAGTTACTTCCTTGCTTCGCAACAAGGTTTCTTGGGTAGTTGCACTGTCAACGCAGGGCAGTATATCATCTAATGCTGTATGAGCAGTGGGGTTTTGAACCCATTCATTCATTGCAACACAAGTATCAGCAGCCACACTAGTATTTCAAAGGGAAGAAAAAGTTAGCGTTCTAGTTGTAAGCCATGCAGATATATTGAAGCAGAAAAGCATTATCACTAAATCATAAGGCTTACTTATGAAGAAGTAGGAATGTGCCACACAAAATGAATGTTCCAGCCACAAGTATCCATCCTGTGATCACCAGGCTGCAACAATTAAATTATAAATGTTCAGTGAGGGAAAAAACAGAAGCATACATTTAATGCAAGGACACTCAACCAAAAATAAACTAGGAAATGATAGAAGAGGAAGATGAGGTATTGGAACTAATTCTCACTCACATGTACACAAGCGACTGCATGCCGAAGATTGAAAATACTGGAACAAAATGTCATAATAGAGGAATGAATAAGTACCACAATCTAAGATGTTTGGAAAACCAGAATATAGTATCTTAATAAAGATATCAAAGCAACTCACAGAATCCCAAGAATGTCAAGAGAAGCATGATGGCAGCAATTATGATAAGCGCCAGTCTCCTGCATGTACATTGAGATAATCCAATTTATGATCAGATTAAATCTCAAAGAACCAGGAGAAAAATAAATGGAAAAAGAGGCCTTTGAATTTTATCTTACACGGAATCTAAGAGATCGCGCATGTCATCTGCGTTCTCCTCTGTTCGCTCAGCAAGGGTACTAGCAGAAGAATTAAGCTTTCCTCCAATCTCATCGATGTCAGTTTGAATGTTAGAAGGTAAAAATACTTGGTCCACTCCAAGCTGCTTGGCTGCAGCAAGATAATCTGATGCATTCTTTAGTTGTTCAACCGTAATATCTGCCTGATGTACAACATACTCCAATGTATTTGTTGTACTACTGTGAAACCTCTTTTGGCCAGTGTATAACACAACACATCCAATCCTGTAACCAGTAACCAAAAAATAGCACATCAGTTTTTAAACAACTGTAGCTAAACACTAAGCAATAAATATTTTATATGAGAGAGAGAGAGACGTACATTGCCGCAATGGTGAAGAGTATGAGGAATATGAGAGAAAGAGCATATGCCGTCCGAGAATAGCCATAAGTCTGCCTTTTACAGCAAAAGTAGCAGACACAGATGATCAGCAAGCACAAGCCAAAACCCAGGAACCAGATTGCAGCAATGGCAAAGAGGGGAGCTGCAGTAAAACCCACAGACTGCATTCGAACAAAAAATTGGACCAAAAAAAAAAAAGAGTATATGAAAAGAAATTCAAGATTTTAGACTAAACACAAATGAAATGTTATTAAGTGATAATAAATAACATACATGCCAGAGAAACACTTGAAGAATTAAAAATTTAGGATATCAGAAAATCAGTTTATGATATTAATATATTTGAGAGTAGGTGTTTGGATGCTACGAAAATGGCACTCTTAGTCAACATGAAGTCACTAAGTGCTGAAAATAGCGCCAAATTCTAACAATTTCGCAGAAGTAAATTTCTGTATCTTGTTTTAACTACAAAGCAACAAGGAAGTAACTTTCTCCCTGATTTCAAAAGCACTTTTAATAAAAGACAATTAGTACAACAAAAGACGGCAACATTAAAATTCAGTTTTTTTCATATATTTAGAAGAAGAAAAAGCAAAAAGCAAAGTTCTTCAAAAAGAGTGATGAACTTACGGCCCAGTAATGATGGTCACTAATATTCCAGCCTCCTGTGTACCTCTTGAACCCATTAAGAGGATCTTTCCTTTGTGTTCTCTGTGCAGCTAACACAATCGATGAGCTCTCAACTGGTGCACCGAAGGGCCCTTCCACAAGGGACCTCCCACTCCCCCATTGAAACCCCACTTCATATTTCTCCCCAAAATCCCACCCTGCAAAAAAAATAAAATAAAAAAATCAGTACAAATATGGAAAATGGAAAGGAAAGACATTTGTACTTTGATTTGTTGCTTAGAATAAAAGGAAAATAGCCAAAAAGATTATAAAGGGTAAGTATTGTTATAATTTTCCACTAAAAAGGAACACTCCATTCAAAGCAAAAATTACAAATGAAGGAGCTTGATAGCAGAGGACAGTGGGGAATGTCCAAGAATGAAGAACAAAAATAGGCGCAGCATCAAAGAAACAAAGAACCCAACTGAGGAAATGCGTGGCAAAGTGAAAGTACCTGAAACGGGTGGTGTTTGGACGGGTACAAAGTGAGAATCCCCATGAGAGAAGAAAATGAAAGTTGGAGAAGAAAGGAAGAGGAAAATCACCAGAAGAAGAGAGGAGGGCAGAGAACAATAACATAACATCATGAGAAGTATAAGAGAGAGAGAGAGAATGGGGAGAATGGAGAGGGAGGGAGGGAGGGAGGGAGGGAGGGAATAGTAACGGTCCTGGAATGGGAATGGGGGGAGAGAAACGTTGGATGCTTTCAGCCCCCAATTAATAATACCAGTGTGGCTTGTTGCTTTCGGTTTTGTGCCGCGAAATATTTTGACAAAGATACCCTCACCATTTATTATTTCATAAGGACATCAAATATTCTTTTTCTTAGTTTTTTTTTTGTCAAAAGGACATCAAATATTCTTATGATAAATAAGATTTAGTTATATTTCTCTTATATATATGATTATTAAGAAAAAAACCAACATAATTTATTATTTTAAAACATAATGAAAATGGTATACCTATAACCAAGGTGGTTGGTGTGAGTAGTTCGGCACTCTCATTCCTTAAGAGAGGTTAGGGGTTCGATCCCTGCTCTCGTATGGAGTCACCACTTTGGCCAGCACTTTACCCCTTACGGGCTGACCCGGTGTGAGCAGGGATTAGTCTGGGTTGTGGTTAAGGCTTAAAGGTGCCACCCATAATTGGGGCCCATCTAGGACCACCTCATGATTCAGACAAAAAAAAAAAAAGTGGTATAACTACATTTTTCTCGAAGAACGCTAAATTTTACTCATGAAAAGTTTCTAGGTGTATAAAAAATCATGAAAGAATCACGTCATTCACAAGCACATACTTTTCACTATGTTCTGAATTCGAATCTCTCTTCATATAGTTTAGATTATATAAAAGTAGTATGTTGTTTGTATAAATTATTATTTTTATTTGCTTATCAATTCTTTAGATTAAATTTGTAAAACAAACAAAATTTTCTTTTTTGCATAACCGTAAATATACACTTAAAATGTATCGTGACAAAAATCATGGAATTAGATCCACCGAATGAGAAGCGTAAATTCGTCAATGTACATCGAATTTAAAATCACGAAAAGTGGTCTGCTGCGGAGCAGCGGAGGTCAAGAAATTCAAAAAGGCAAAAGGGGTTGGGTCCCAAAAACCGCGTCAAGCTCTAACGGCTCGCTCCCCAAGGAATTTCCATTTTCTTGAGTTTCTTTTTCTTTTTCCTTCTCGTGGGCTGTAATCCACGTAGGACCACAATATCAGCCTGTTTTGTCGGCTTTCTGTTCTTCCCGCCTTCCAAGTCCGGGCCTTAAAATGATCCTGGGCTTAGTAAAGTTGAGTCATCCTGTTAATTTCATTTTGGGCCATGAGTGTCCTTTTACATGAGTCCAACCGGTCAAACATTAAGGTGTTTGGGTTTAACTTAATTTTGACCCAAAATTTTCACTTGATTATGTTGTCCCTCGTCTCTTTCTTCTCTAACCCAAAATAAAAAATTGCGAGCCCAAAAGGCCGAAATTTTCATTAAAAAGGACGAAGAAAAAAGGCCCAATTCAACTTTATCTTATTTCTGATCCAAGGCCATTTTAGTCATTGCAGCGATTAGGGTTCCACATATATTCGCCTCAAGCATCGCCCTTTTCGGTTCCGCATAGATTAGAGTTTTTGCTCATCAGTCTCCCTTCGGCGTCGGCTTCAACCAGTCTCCACAAAGCAGCTTGAAAATGGCGGAACAGGTAGATCCCTCTACTTCTCTCTCTAAGCTTCCCTCTGTCAGAAATAGGCTCTAATTCAATTCACTTCGCTGTTACTAATTCATCGTTTTATGCGTGTGTGTGCTTCAGACCGAGAAGGCTTTCTTGAAGCAACCCAAGGTTTTCCTGAGGTAAGCCAGTGGTTTCAAAATCTTTTCTTTTTAGTCATTTTAGAAATTGAGATCCGATATAGTGCGTGTTCTTGTTTATCTGCTTCAGCTGAAATCTAGTGATTTTTTTTTATAGAAATAAAATAACTGTTAAATCTTTGAGAGAATGAAATGGATGCGGTGGTGGTTAACATATTGATGTGATGTAAAATTTTGCAGCTCAAAGAAGACAGGGAAAGGAAAGAGGCCAGGAAAGGGAGGCAATCGCTTCTGGAAGAGTGTTGGATTGGGGTTCAAGACACCCAGAGACGCTATTGAAGGTCTAATTTAATCCCTTATTTGTTTTACAGTTTACTTTTCTCATGGTTGCTATTCATTTTTGGGTTTGTCTGTTTCAAATTGTTGTGGATATGGTCCAATTTCCTGTTTTTTATTAGTCTCTTTGAATAGTGAAGCATTGGGCTATGTTAGCTAGATGTTAGCAGTGGGATACGATTGTTAGACCGAACTCTTATAATTGGTTTAAACTTATGTTTCTCTACAATGAGCTTAAATTTCAGAAATCAAGAGGGTGGATAATGCCTCTAAACTGGAATTGACATCATGTTTTATTTTGGAATAATGTAGTCAATGTCAATGTCGCTCAATTTAATAGGTAGCATCTGCTAAGTTTGGTTCATGTCTATGCTTAATTAGATATACCATGAAGTGCTCTGGACTGTTACTTATTATTCATTGATTGAATGTTGCTTGTTAGCATTTCGTGTGTACAGTTTGAGTGTTCTGTGATTTGAGTGGAGTGGGAGGCAGTCTTGTTTGAAGTTGTTCTGTAAACCTTATGGTCAAATGACTTGGGATATCAACTTTGGTGTTCATCTTATGGCTAAAAGGGTTGCTTGCCTGTAACTGTAGGAACTTATATTGATAAGAAATGCCCTTTCACCGGCAATGTCTCCATCAGGGGTCGCATTCTCTCCGGTACTTGCCACAGTGCCAAGATGTCGAGGACTATAATTGTTCGACGTAATTATCTTCATTATATTAAGAAATACCAAAGGTGAGGTCATATTACTATGAAAAGGTCAAGTTATGCTTTTTCTTAGAAACAGGAAAATTGATAAAATTGATCTCACTTATTTGTAGATATGAGAAGAGGCATTCCAACATTCCTGCTCATGTGTCACCATGCTTCCGTGTGAAGGAGGGAGATTATGTCATCATTGGCCAATGCAGGTTAGATCCTAAACATGTTGCTTGTTAAATCTGTTGCAACTGTTGCTGATTGGTTTTTCGTATATTTCGTTCTTTGCTTATGTATTAGTCAAAGGGTGTTCTTTTCTTTAATCTGTACTTATGGTTGTTAAATTTTGCAGGCCATTGTCAAAGACAGTGAGGTTTAACGTGTTGAAGGTGACTCCGGCTGGTTCTTCTGGAGCTGGAAAGAAGGCATTCACTGGAATATGAGCTTCATGTTTTGGGCAGTATTGGTAGTGTTACGTTTGTGCAAGAAGTACATTTAGATTGAGCTACTGTTGACAGATGAACTGTTTTTTGCCATTTTATTTTGATCCTTAAATATTGAATCCATGTACGGTGAATTTTAAGGTTTTTCTTCTGTTGAACCATTATCTTGGAGTTTGATATCCATAATGTCATTTCTATTCACAATGTTGCCATGCTGATGCTTACATTCCTACTATTTCAGAATGTCTAAGTGGTTTATGTTGTGGATATAGTTTTAGATCGTTTAGTAGTCTTGAAGGTATATGGTATATGGGTGTTTGTTGTCGAATGTGGTCATGTCAATAAGAGAAAGTGACCTCAAAATGTTTCCAATAGGCTTAGTGTAAGTAGAGCTGTGAATGGGTCGGAGATGGAGTGGAGCTGCTTATCTCTGATCCTTCACAAGCAAATCCACATCCGATATGTTGGATAATTGGATGTCTGATCTATCTCTGGAAAAAAGAAACAAAAAAACAAGCGTTCGAGAGTACACTCTAACATTGATATATTACGGGTTGGGTTGGATTGTTCGTTCGGTTAGGTGGGGTGGGAATTTTGATAGGGCAGCTGAAATGAGCGAGGAGGGGCAGTTTTTTTCTTCTTCTTTTGTGTTTGGGTCTGATGTAGAGGTGTCAAATGGGCTGTGCTGGGCCAGCCTGTCCCATTTAAATTCGTACTTTTAACATTTTCGTGCTGTGCCGGGCCTACCCATTTAATTTATCGGGTCGTGCCGTGCCGGCCCATTTAATAAAATCATTGATCTTGGCCCGGCCCAAAGCCCAGGTCCATATTCAAATGGGCCGGGCTGGACTCGTGCCATACTTGGGCCCAAAAACCAACCCATTTAATTTGAATTTTTTTCACTTTATTATTATTTTTTTCCACTAGATAATTCAAATTATAAACATTAAAAATATAATTTGAGGCGAGAAATTATGAACTATTTGAAAACATTAATCAATTAAACATTCAAACAATATGAAGGGGCGGAGGGCAAAAAGTGTCCAACTCCACAAAGTCCACTTGAACTTTTCATCTTTAAACAACTTATTATTTTATATGTGAAGAAATGTTTTGCTTTGATTATAGGAGAAACATATATGTCATATGTATTGATTAGATATCAAGTCCAATGTTGTTTAATTAATTTGTAGTTGATATGTTTAATTAACTAAGGACCCAAGTAATTTCCCTAAAATGAAAGACATCAAATATATGTTTATGATTTTTTTTTTTAAAACATATAAACAATGACATTAGATGTCAAATTATTGCATTTTGACTTTTTGAGAAAGAAAAAAAAAAGCTAAATGGGCCGTGCTTGAAGCGGGCTCGGGCCAAGCCCGGCCCAGTCCATTGGACCTATTTCTTAATCCCAGCCCGGCCCAAGTTTTCGTGCCGTGCCGAGCACGGCCCATTAATATTCGTGCTTGTGCCGTGCCGTGCCTCATTTAAACGGGCTAGGCTCGTGCTGTACTGGGCCGGCCTGTCCCGTTTGACACCTCTAGTCTGATGTGGTAGGGATTAGTTTAAAGTGGGAGAGATGTGGGCTTATTAATTGGGCTTAATGTATACAGTATTGGGCTTAAAAGTAAACATCTAATAAAATAAATGTTAAATCAGATTGGATTAGGGAAAATACAAATTTGTTTTGTTAACTAAATGGGTTAACGAATTCGGAACATAACCGGATTATCAGACTATGCCAATAGATCTATCTCCCATTAATTACATTGGATTCAGATAATTTTGTTGACGTGGATGATGACTGGTTACCGACAAAAGCTTAGCTTGGGATCAGACCTCAAAACCAACCAATCTTATTGAATGAAATTGAACTACAACAATAAAATCTCACTTGCAATGGTGTGATTTAGTTCAATACAAAAATAACAAAATGAAAAACCTGCCTAATTTTTAATTCATCTTTCAGTTTTATGTGCACCAAGTTAAAATATTTGAGTTCTAGAAAGTTGAAACACACTTGCCACTAGATCACAGTCCCAACTTGTCTGGACTGAGTAGCACCAACCAAGAAAAAAGACATACATGCAGGGGCACGTTACCACATTTAAAAGTGTATCCGACTAGAAAAACAAAACTATCCTCTTTGAGTCATCATAGTCATGCATTTTTAAACTATTGAAAATATACTAATTTCAAGATTTTGTTTTTGTAGCCGCATATACTTTTAAATGTGGTAACGTGTCCCTGTCAATGGATCAGATTTGAGTGATTGCTTGAAGTTTTGCTGTAAGTACACCGAGAATGGACACAAATTAGTTCCATAATCTCATGTTTCCCACGTCATGTCCATTGTGCCTAGTGTCCTTCAAGTCCTAGTCGTATCTATAGGAGTGGTTTCGTGAACTTCAAGGGTCAGGAAAATATCACAGTTGGTACATATTTCCGTCTGCGTTTTCCGTTGTCAAAGTCTTGTTAAGCTTTTTCTATTTGATCCCTGCACCATACGGCAATTTAGATAATCGAGACCCCTTCATTAGTCTTCTGAGGAAGTTATACTAGAGCTTAAGATCAAACTCAGCGAAATTGCCTGTCCTGTTTTATGTCTGCAGACTTTTGTCCTTCATATCTGTTCTAATTTACATGTCTAGATGAGTTGAGGGACCAAACTGTTGGCCATATGGAACCTCTCCCAAAGAATATACCTGCTTGGTTGGAGTTGGGAAACAAGAAGAACAACTGGGCATATATAAATATGCCAGCTTTCCACGGCCGTATACATGAATTCTTACTACTATCAAATCCCAATTGTTGGCTCGACGTGAACAGACCATGCCGGTTTGCTAATTGATTCATATTAGACAACTGGATCATTTCTGGCTTCCTGTACACCGACGTCAAGTTTCGATTGCAATCGACGAACCGTTCGTCGTTGACAGTTTCGACCCAATAACAGAAAAGGGAGAAAAACAAATACCGTGCAATTTCCGCTGTTAGACAATTTCCAGTACATTAAAAAACAGGATTAAAATTCCCCTTGAAAAGCTGGAAGCCTGCAACAAGTCCCATGCAATTTCCTCACAATCAATCTATATTTTTCATTGACAATATCAAGGAGATTCACATAACATGCACTCAAATGACAAACAGATAGTCTACTACAAACAACTGTATTTAAACAAAAAAAGATTTATTATGAACAATTCAAAGGAAACTTGAAATCACTAAAAAGATATTAGCTGATCACATAAATACGGCAGTTGATGTGTACCTAGTGTATCAATTATTATGAAATTTTGTTATTCTTCATTAATACGTAAACTAATGTAATAAAATATGTAATCTTTTATACCCTGCCCCCTCATATGTCTCGAAGTCTATAGATAAGGAGTTTTTATCAAAAATAGCCAAAATTTACCCCATACTTTCATAAATGTTAGTTTTGTTAAAAACTTTCAAAAATAACCAAAAACCCACTTAAATAGACTCAAATGCCCCCAAAACTAAAACCCACATAAGTTAAAACTACTACTATTTGATTATATATATATTTTTTGGACAAATTCGGGAAACATTAGGAAAAGGAAATCGCACTTGTGGATCCCGCTTCCATCTTCTAACTATCCATTCCATTACTCACGTCCTCAGCCCAGAGGCAGTCCCCTCCTCCATCTCCATGTAGAGCACTGATCACTTACAATACACACTTTTATATTCAAGTCCAAGTAGCTAATTCCTCAAGACCATCTTGGTTGTGCAAAGTTTCTGAGAGAACACTATATAAGTTTTTTTTTTTTTTATAATAAATAAAAGTTCTTCCATCATGAACATTAAAGAAGCATGGTGGATTCCAGTAAAAACAAGAAAAAGAACCATGTTGTCCAGTAAAAGGATGAACAGATACGGATCTGATACTACAATATTTAAGAAGACACTATGCAGTATCATATCATGTATGTATGACTCACTTCATAAACAGGTCCAAATGATTATAAGCATATAACGAGATAGTTAAGGATCAAAACCTATATATATATATATATATGTTGTGGACTGTTAAGATCCCATGAGCACGACTATGCTTGGGCCTGCATATGTTTATTAAAAAAAATGGTAGACCGAACAAAGAAGCAATGGAAACCCAAAAAAAAAAAAACGGCACTTACCGTACAGGG